AGGAAATCCATATATAAAGCTGCACTAAGATTTGGAGTTATGGTAGAGACTGAAATTCTCAGTTATACAGAAAAAGTAGTTGGCTATCTGCTTTGGACTGAAAACACCTCTTTTTAGAGAGGACTGGGGTTTCCAAGTGGCTAGGAGCAAGACCTGGGAATATGAAGTAGTTGAAATAATTTCCTTTTTAATTGCTACTTTGCAGCCTTTTCCTCCGACTTCCAGAAAAGCTTTGCGCTTTCTCTGTCCACAGAACTCTAAAATAGGCAAAGTTGATTTATTTTATTAGGGAAAACAAGACAATTCCTAGTATTCTTGCTATGATGTTTGCTCAGGGGAAGCTAAGAGAAGATGAAATCACTTTCTGAGAAGCAGCGGCTTAACATGGGCAGAGACAACGTCAGAAATTGATTTCTTTTGCTGACTTACGCAGCAGTGCACCCCTTGGTCGGCTTCTCTCCCACCCCTCTGTGCTACTGGGAATCTGCTAAGATACACCTGTGGGAGGTTTGGGCTTTTAAATCTGTGCCTTAAACGTCCCAACAGTTCCCTAACTTGCAGAAAATTTATTCCTATCAGGTCCTTAACCTCAGTTTTCTTGGGAAAATCACTGCAAGTATCTCCCTTCAGAAGCCTACTACAGAACATGTCTAAGAACTAAAGAAGCTTTGCCCCCACCCCTTGAAAACTGAATGTTCTGCAAAAGATTGATATTTTTAGATTTAAAATTCTCATGTTTAGGCTGAAATTACAAGCTAATAACAACAATCATGTCATTAAGTCTGGATGAAAGGTTTTGATCATGGGGAAAGTACATTCCAACACAGTTCAAAATAAAAATCTCAAAGGTTTGAGCCTCTCCGTCTCACACTCCACCTCTTCTCCCTGTGCTTCTGCAGAAACACAGGAAAGAAAGAGCTGAAAAAAGCAAGGGAGAAAAAATAATTTTCTCTCAAAATGCAAGCAAAACTGTAACACATTTCAATTATAACAAGAAACTTATTTTCTGCACAAAATACAACTTGCTCTTTTCAACAGGCTCCAGCTGTAGTAGGCTGAGAGTAAAGGTGTAACACATGAAGGCAAATATCGCTTATGTTTTAGGAATTTCCATCATTTTTATGGATTGCATTGATGAGAAATGCATTTGCACACTCTCAACTGCCAGTAACATTTTTGTTGTGCGATATACTTTGAATAATTCCTTTGCAAAAAGTATGGCCATATATTCATTAAAAATGGAAAGTCGTTCTGGAAGACCCAAGCTTCTAAATGAATGGTATTTCAATAAATAAAGGTGGTATAAATTCAACATACTGATTCTCCAATTCATCATCCTCTAAGCTAAAATATATCTTTCCTTTCTAATTTCAATTCCCAGCCATTCTGTCCTCTTAATCTTAATTATAAATGGTCTGCCACTTATCAAATCATTCTCTGTGTACTGCACAATCCTCACCCTTAATTGCACAAATATTTTATTTTTGGAACAACACAGCTCAGCAACAAGCTTCATTTTTCTTCTCATGACTCAGTCTCTATTAAAGTAAAGCGTTTATAAAACCTCTGGGCGCATGGAGAGAAAATTAGTTGCTCCTCTGTGGCTAACAGTTTTTAACTAATCACAATGCAGCTCCACATCACTCCGAGCAGAGCAGTGATTAAAACTGCGCCTGCAACAAAGCAACATTGTACACAGTGATGACGTGCTCCAGTCAGAAACGTCTCCCCTCTTGTTATGATTGGTATTCCCCAGATGTTTGACTTTGAGCTCTAGCTTGGCAGGCGAGGCTTTGTGGCTGCAATTCAAGTCCCAAGCTTCAGCAGCTCCAGTGTTTATTCTCATGATTTACACTTTGTGATGGCTTATGGACAGTTATGTACTTGGTTTCATAGCCACCACTTCAAACCAAGGGCCTGATCCTGCCTTTATGGAGTTAGTGGTAAATGCTTTCTAATTCCAGCACTGGCAGGAGACCCCAGATGATTAAACCACCTCTCAAAGTAAACAAGCCAATATAAAAGAACAATTTGGTTTAAAAACAATAAAAAATGCCTGAAATCTTACTTACTAGGAAGTCTTCTTCACAGTACACCTTGCCATTGACATTGTAGAACGCTTTTCCTCGTAGTCTTCTCCCTGTTAAAATATGGTACCGTCAGAATTTTGTGCTCCGTCCCCCAAACCCAGTCGTTCAAGATGCAAAGGGAAAAAGCACACCCTGCTGCGCCTGTCTGCATGGCAGGTCCTGGCCCCTCTCGCCCCGGAGGGTCCATCCAGAGACATGGGTGAGGGCTGGGCTCTCAGCTCCATCCTGCCTTAACAAATTCCTTATCAACTAAACGTTACTTCTAAGAGCAGGTTATGGAACCCAGCTGATACCAGTTCCTGGAAAATTTGAAATCTAAACCCAAAAATGATTATTCTGGGGGGAAAGGCTCATTTGTAAATTGAGACAATTTTCTTAGCTGGTGAAATCACAGCAGCATACATCCACTGCAATCAACATCAGCGATGTGTTTGTCTCTAAAGGACCAAACGAGGGATACTGCATATGGATGTTCCTGTCATCTTTAAAAATATTAATACATTAATCAATGCCACAGCAGCTACACCCACAGCTCCCTGCGAAACTAAAGCAGTACAAGGCACACGTGACGGAGGGAAGGGCAGAAAAATCCCACTGAAAACAAGAGATTTCATTTTCAAGTTTGAACATTTGCCATTTCATTAGCGCTTGCGGAACTCTATTGACAAAGCCTGTGATCATCGTTAACTGATGGCTCCCTTTACAGCTAAGAAATGCACAACAGACTCCAGAGAGTCCCAACAAAACCGATTATAACCAGGAATTCAGAAACCACCGAGCCCAACGAGTTTTCAGATACAGCAGATCCGATCTGTCTTACACCAGAGCTGCTCCATTGAAAGCAACACCATTTTATCAGTGTAAAACCAGAGAGGGAGAAGGGAAACCGCACTCATCCTGACTCACCTTATTTCCACTCTGCCAGGGTCCCACTGGCCAAAGCTCCCAAACATTTGGGTGCTCTCACAAGCCACGTGCAGCCTTGGCAAGCAGATGGCACGGCGCCTACTATGGGCTGCATACCAGCTGCCATTAGCAGTGACACAGAGCAAGGAAGCGGGCAAGAGGCTCTGCATTTACAGGTTAACAGACGACCCCTCCCAGGTCACTGCCAAAGCTTTTACTCCACAGAATAAGCCTGGACGTCTCCTACTGAGGCAGAGTAGAAGCTCCACCATAAACACCGCTGATCTTCGTGGAGGGTTTGATTCTCAGGGCTGGCGAGCTGAGCCAGCTGGCCAAGCGCAGAGGGGTAGGAGTGCTCTCCATGGTTTCCATAAACAATGTTGAGGAAAATATGATTAATTTTCAGTGCTTGAAAGTGCCTTTTACATGTTGCCACTGTGATCCGATCCTGGGAAACAGTGTGTGGCACAAAGAAGTTGGGATCTGGGCTGATGCTTCTGGGAAATCACATGCTGCATGTGGTTGTCTGGCGGTTTTACTGTCGTGGCCGAGGGAAATGCTTCTTTTGTGTGCACATTCTTGGGCTGTCGATCTCACGGGCTGCTGTCTCCATACTGCTGGTAGGTGGAGTCAGCTCTTGTTTGTCTTTCTAGCTGCCTGGTAGCTCTGGAGGGGACCAGGAGCCTGGTGGCGTGGGCAATGCACTGAGACTGTCCCATCTCCTCTGAGGCTCTTAGGTAAAACTGGTCCATCCTACACATCACCGAAACAAGGCACGGGGCTGGGACAGCAATCAGGGGGTCACGGGGCCTCTCTCTGCTGATGCAGGAGCAACCACTTCTAGATCTTCCCTCCTGCTTATCCAAGCTGTTTTTAAACCTCTCCAGTGAAAGGTAAAGGAAAGGTAAATGGAAGGGAGAGAAGAAAAGTAAAGAGGTGAGAATAGCTTTTTAAAGAACATGTTGGCTCTGCCAGACCCAGCCTTAATACACGACTTGTCTTTAGACGGTGGAGATGAAGTGGCTGCACCCCCAACAGGGACTTGCCTTGGACATGCTGACGCAGCGCTTCCACCTTGCTGACACACATCACTGGTGCAGAGCTGGGGCATTTGTTTCAGGTAGAGAAGCGCTGGCCATCACCCTCACCACACACCCATTATGGTTAGAAGCAGCAGAGATAATTAGGGACAAATCCTAAACGCTGTTCCTGGAAGGATCTCTGCAGGAAAGGAACACCCTAATCTGGGGAGACGTCAGCATCTCCCAAGGCACTGCAGAAGGTGCACGTGGACCCGTACATCCCGCTTTGTATCCCAGCATGCAGAGCCTCCAGTGCTCAGGTTGATAGAAACGCCCCAAATTCTGCTTCTGTTGTTTCCTTAGCACAGCATCACTGGCAGAAGCCAATGGGGTCAGAGCTCTCCCGGATTGGGAAGGAGCGGGCACCCTAAGACCCAAAGCAAACAAGGCAAACCCGAAGTTTTGGACAGGCTCTCAAAGACGCTTGTGTTATCAGATGCATTCGGCAGCTGATTGCCCTGCGACATTAAGCTTCCTCACCCCAGTGCAGCAAAGCTGCGAGTCTCCATCTCAGCCACTGCACAACTTGTGAGCCCCTGCTCACACCATGCTCTGCAAGCCCCCACCTGCCAAACAGACAGCTGCCTCCCCTTCCATGCAGCTGACACGGTAGAAACATCTCTGTTTTACGCAGCACTTGCAGAGCAACACCTTTCAAAACTAAGAATACCATTTTCCCCATTTTACAGCTGAAAAAAACAAGCCACCTATTAGGGAACCAACTTGCCTAAACTCATAAAGCAGGCAAGCAGCTTGCTCACATGATAATTACTATTATTAGCAATAATTAATAAAATAGACAGGCCTTTTACCTTAGAGGAATTTAGTTCAGGGATTGTACAATAATTATCTCATAAACAAGAAACAGCAAGTTATCACACAAATAGCCATGGCTGCACTATATTGGCTTCTACATACTGAGTTTTAGAAATAAAGGCAAAAACATACGTTCCATTCGCCCTCCAGAAGAGTTTGCTAAATGACGGCATTGAACACGGTCAAACATCAAGCTCTGCGAGTACCCGGGCCTCACGTGAAAACTGCAATCAAGAGGAAAAGTGCTGGCAGTTGCAGCCAGGGAGCCACAAAGCCCAAGGAGATGCAGCACTGGCACCTCCCAGCCCCAGGGCAGCCGTGCAGCAGGGCTGTGCAGTGCCTCACGGTTAGGGTACCTGCCCCGAGCTCGATGTACTGGACAAGGCGGTTTCACCTCTCAAGGTCCTGGAGTAACTTGGGGGCCTATCCAGCACCAGTCTGTTCGGTGTAGCCATAACCTATTATTGTCAATCAGGCAGAGATTACAAGTTAAAAAAACCTGATGTTGCTTTAGCCAGCTGAGTCAAACACCTGGCCAGCTAGACAAGATACTACCATCCTGCCCACTGGTACACAGAACCTGCTGCTTGGCTTTCCTCTGAATGATTGAGCCCGGGTTACTATTTGCTTTCATAATATTGAAACAAAAAAGTCAAGAGTTTCTGACAAAACTTGATGCAACTTGCCGACAGCTCATTATAATAATAATGAGCCGTTATAATGAGCAGCCTAGCGCAGAGTTCACAAGCACGGGGTTTCACAAACACCGTGCTTCTCTCCTCCTTCTGCTGGATACCCACCTCGGCACGCCCGCCCTGTCAGACCAGTTTTCAACAGCAGCAAGGAAGAGGCTCTGTTTCACACCCCACCAGAAGAGCAGCAGGTCGGCCAGGAACGCGTGGGGGGACCTCGGGACGGGGCAGAAGCCGCCCAGCCTGCAGCCCACACGCAGGCACGTAACACCAGCTTTTACAGGGAAGCCCTTTTTTCCCTGAGTGCTCTTTAGAGCCTTGTTTTGCTGTAGGAAATGAAGCTTATGTGCTCGCAGTGACAACAAATGCTTGTTGCAAGTAACTTTTATGTTTCTTGACTGACACCCACACATTTGAGGGGCAGTGAGCGCCAGGATAAGGGGGTTCTACCACCTCAGGTGGGAGGCAGAGACCTTGCAAATGCTCCAGCAAAAAGCGCAAAGCTTCACGTAGATAATCTAGCAGTTAATAAAACGCGAGCTAGAAATCACTCTGTCCCAAGGAATGATCACAACTGGTGTTTGCACCAACGTGACAAACATCCAAAAGAAAGCAGGCTTTTGGAACTTTTAAAAAATATATAAAATCAGAATCAGCTCTAGGTTTTTAACAACAGTTTTCACATTTAAACAGTTTATGAGTCTCTGGTATTTAAACGTGTCTAGCAATTAATTGCCTGCACAATTTTTCTCCCCTATGTGTTGCAAACTAAAGGGAAGGAACGGGAGAGCTGTTGCTTTAGCGAAGGACTCAACTCCAAGATTTGGCTTGCAAAAGGAAAAATGACCCACAGTTGACACAGGCTGTCCACAACTATTCCCTCCAGTCTCCACAATACTTCGCTGGGTGGTGAAAACACACCAGCCAGGAAGCCAAGATGGGGTAGAACTTTTTCCAACGCTGTTTCAAAAGCTGCTCCAGGCCCTCATGGAACAAAATGTGAATCCGACCGGGTTTTACGGTCTCGAGGAGGTGCTCTGAAAGAGCACTGAAAATGTCCTGCCCCCTCCCCACTAGCCCAGAAAGCATCTTCAAAGCCCTCCATGCTGCTGCTGGCAGCGAGTATTTGCCTATAGGGAGGTGAGTTTATCAAGTCGCAGCCTTCACTGGTAGATCTCCAGTCTCACACAGGATGATGCAACCGCATCGGGGGCTAACACCCCCCCTCGCCTTTGTAAGACAAGAGATAACAATGTCTCACTGTCACAGCATGGTTATTAGACCTAATTACTGTTTGCAGCGTGCTTTGAAGTTATAAAGTGCCAAGCATTATTATAATATTTTAAGTACTTTGATGATTAAAAACATGCAACGTTGGGTAATAATCATGATTTACTAGCATTGTAGTGTAAGCAAGTTCATGTGAGAAGCCTGCATTGTCTCAGTGCCTGACGCTACTTAAAAACAAACAGCTCCCCTCTGACATAATGGGAATGCTGCAGCCCCAGCCTCGCCTCCCAGATAACGCCTGGCGCGTCCCTGAGACTACCAGCG